CTTTCCCTGCAGCCTCCCTAACACAAGCTACCATTACCGTCACCTGGATTCCTGTAAGAGCCTCTTAGCCGATTTCTCTGTGTCCAGTCCTGCCTCCCTGTAATCTAGTCTCCTCAAAGCGGCAAGAGGGATCATATTAAAACTCAAGTCAGATCTTGGCACTCCTTCTGGTAGAAACCCTTCAATGGCTCTCATTTCACCCAGAGTGAAAACAAAATCCTGACAATGGCCTAGACAGCCCCATGCAGCTGGGCCCTCATGACTCTGTCGTCGTCTCCTGCTCAGCCCTCTCACTCTCTCCCTTCCAATCACAGGGCTCCTCGGACAGCCCGCAGGCTTCCGCCTCAAGGCCTTGACTGACTGCTTTCTTCCCTCAACCACTCTGTCCCCAGCTACCTGCACAGGTAGCCTCCTCCCCCATTTAGGGTCTTTCCTGTAATGGCATCTTCTCAATGAGGCTTCCTGGCCTTACTTTAAAAATATATATATATTTTTCCTAGCAAAGCATCTTTCTTTCTTTATTTATTTTTTTATTATTTTATATATTTTTATTGATTTCAGAGAGGAAGGGAGAGGGAGAGAGAGAGAGAAATATCAGTGATGAGAGAGAATCATTGATCGGCTGCCTCCTCCATGCCCCCTCCTGGGGATTGAGCCCGGAAACCCAGGCATGTGCCTTTGACAGGAATTGAACCTGGGATCCTTCAGTCCACAGGGATGATGCTCTATCCACTGAGCCAAACTGGCTAGGACCCTGGCCTTACTTTTTAACTCTGTCCCCTTTGCCTTGCCTCTCCTCCTTTCTATTTTATTTTTTTCCCTAGCACATATGACCATCTAAAATACTAGTATATATTTTACTTATTTCTTTTTTTCATTGTCTGCCTCATCCCACTAGAATGAAAGTTCCTGAGGGAAGGGATCTGTTGTCTTTTTTGTTCCCTGTGCTACCCCCAGGCCGTGGAACAGTGCCTGGCACATATGAGGTGGCTCAGTGTATTTATCAAATGAATGAACAAATGAGCAAACCTATGGAGCGAGGCTGCTGGAACTCACCAAAGTTAAATGCCAGTATATTCAGATGTAAACTATTTCATGGGTATACAGGCAACTTCTTTCCTCACTTTGTTTCCTGCTCCTCACACTCCCACACACATGCACATGCCCACCTCCACCAGGAAGCCCACCCTGCTCACCGGCCTGCTGTGGCGTGGGCGGCACCGGATACGCAGCACTGAAGCCAGGATGACCACAAAGATGGTGCCCACCACCGTCAGGAGGATCCACACATCATAATCTGGCTGGGGGAGCGAACAGAGAGGGAAAGGGTCATGTTCTGGAAGGAGCTGGGTCAACCTGGCAGGAAAATGGGAGCCCAGGTGACAGAAAGATTGCGAAAGGTCCCCACGAGTCTTCTAGCAGAGGGGACGGGGTGGGAAGAACCTGCAGGTGGGGTTAGGTGGTTCCTCCCTGCCCACAGGCACTTACTTGTAGGAGAAGGTCTTCCAGATGTCAGCTGTGAGAGGCACTATCTGAAGCCCAGTGTGCTTGGGGAAAGGGGGAAAGGGACCCCTCTGAGAGGTGGGAGCTACCTAGTGAGCAGCTGGGTGAGGGTCCTAGCCAGCAGAGAAACACCAGCCAGGGTTCAGGGGGCCCAGGGGTCAAGGTTTCCTTCTGGCTCTGCTCCTCTGCGCCACGAAACCACAGAGCTGAAAACAACGTTAAAACTCAGCTGGGCCGATTGGCTCTTTCTGCAGATGAGGCCCAGAGAGGAAGAGAAAGCGCCTGGAGACACACAGCTGGTGGATGAAATTGGACTAGGGGGTTTCCAAAGTCTCTCCAGGAGTCTAAGGGCTTTCGGTGGGAGAGGCCAGGAGACAAAGTGAGGGTAAGAGCAGGTGCGGGTGCAGGGTCTGGGACCAGCAGTGCTTACCCAGGTCGGGGGCTCCTTCAGCTCAATCCTCACATGGGCCTTTCGGTTCTTGTACACAAACTCCATCAGCTTCTCAGCATCGTTACCCCAGATCAACACCACTGGCCAAGTCAGCCCCAGTGGCTGCTGCAGCTGCAGAAGGAAAGTGCCCACAGGGCTGCTGTGTCCTGACTTCTCCGCCCCCTGTCACTTCATCTTCCTCTGGCCGGCACCACCTCCCACACCCACTGTCCCTGGGTACCTGCTCCGCAGCAGCTCGGTCCTCGGTGATGTCAAAGAGGACTGCGCTGGCTCCTCGCTCACCCGCCATTCGGGCCTGCAGAGGCACACAGCAGAGGGCCAGCTGGGTCAGAACAGGACACAGCCCATCCACACCCCACTGTACCTGCTCACACATCCACCCCTTCCCAGGGCCCTGTACACGCCGCACCCCTGCACACTCACATGTAAGGGGTCAGTGGAACTGGGGTTCCCTACCCTACTCTGAGTTCACCCAGGTCCTACTGCCTTCCAGGACAATATCCAGGCCTTCCTTTCCTAATGGGACAAACCCTTAACAAGGGTTTAGCAGGGGTCAGGTGGTGAAAAGGCTCTGAGGCGAGGGCAAATAAGGCAGCCCCTGTCTTCAGGGTCCCACCAGTCTGCCTTCACTAACAGAGTGAGAGCAGAGAATAGGGAGTGGCCAGCAGCCTAGAGCCTGAGGATGACCAGTCCCCAGTACAGAGGGAGTGGGGAGAGAAGAGAGGGGGACAGCTGCTCCAGAATAGCGTCCAGCCTGGCCTGACAAGAGGAGTCTGCCGGGGATCCCCCAGTGCAGGCAAAAGTTCCAAGAGCCTGGGACACTGCTCCTCCCCAAGGTCTCCGTGCAGAGCCCCAGGCTCAGCCGCCTCATGGGCTGTCTCCCTGCCACCTTTAGTTTGCCTGCTCTTTCTCTGACTCCAGTTCAAGGACCTGATGGAGTCCAGTGCTTTATCCCTTCATCCCCTCCCTGAGAGGTGGCACTAGAGACTCCGGTAGGGAGGGACCTGAGAGGCCGTTCCCACAGGACACAGCCACACACATGTGCACAGGCATGCTCACCAAGGCTCCAGGAGCAGGCTTGGGGAAGCGAAATCTAGCCAACCAGGCGGGGCAGAGAGCAGAGCCAGAAAGAACAAAAAGCAGGGATCTTGGGGCTCTGGGTGTGGGGTAAGAGAAGGGCGATAAGAGCTAAGGGTGGGGTGGAGGCACAGGGCAAAGGACCGACAAACAGACACTGTTACTGGCCTTAGTGTCAGGTCTCCCTGCTCTGCACAGCCACCTCCAGACTCCCTCCCTACAGCAAAGGCCGGGCCTTCATGCTCCTGGGGGCCTGCTGAGTCTTGGGGGCCTCCTGCAGGTACTGAAGGAGTTAATCCTCCTGCAAGCAGTGGTGGCAGGAAGAGGAGCCAGTGCTGGGGCTTACTCACACTCTCGGAGCTTTGATCTCTGCTTCCCTTCCCGCAGAGAGCCTGTCGGGGCAGGTCTCCTGCCAGGCAGGCTCAGGGAGCGGCCACTCTCCTGCTCCCTGCACCCTGCTCCCTGCTCCCCAGGTGGCAGCAAGGCCAGGGGCCTCTCAGAACAGGCAGCCCGCAGGCAGGGGAGCCGAGCCCGGGAGACCCCAAGTGGGGCCCTGTTTTGGTCAGGTGGGTAACTTTCCTCTTCTCTCCTCTCGCAGGGAAGCTGGGCTGGGCCCTCGACCAGCACCCAGGCCCAGCCCAGGCCCAAGCTGCCAGGCTAATTGACTGGAAATTCACGAGACTCCGGAATGGAGTTACTAATGACTTTGAGAGGTCACAGTCTCCTACCCACTTCCGACCAGAAAGTCCACCCCACCTAGGCAACCCCAGGCAATTTTGAGAGCCCTCCAAGCCAGGGTGCGGGAGCAGCCACAGGGGAAAGGAGAGGGACTCCTACAGCTAATCTCAGAGTCCAGGACTTGGCCAAGGGGCGGGGAGGTCACCCCAAGTCTTCACAGAACTGAGAGTCCTGGATCCTCCATGCTGCCAGGGCCTCGAGTTTCTTACCCCCAGAATGAGACCCTGGACCGGCCCTGCCTGGAAAAGCATGAGGGAAGGGCACAGACTCCTTTCTCTGGAGATTTCACTTCCCCACCCCTCTCTCTTTGAAGGATTGGGGTAGAAACAGTGGAAAGTAATTACCCTGCCGTTCAAACACCCCAGCCCATTACAGCCCATAATTACAAAGTTGTAAAAATGATCAAAGAGAGAAAGTTGGCCAAGAGGAGAAACAAAAAGGACTTTCAGGCAGTGGGTGCCTGTGTCTAGAGTTCTAGGAATCAAAAAATAAGCTCACGGACCTCTTTCTGCCCCTGTTCCTTCCCGTCAGTGGGAGGGTGGGAGAAAAGCACTTCTTCGGGAACTATAATCTGAAGGCAGAGAGGAATGGGAGGCTGGGCTTTAGAAAGACAACCAGAGACGTTTGGGAGCTGCAAAGAGTCAGCCAGCCCCCCAGAGGGAGCAAGCAAGGCTGCCCACAGCTACCATCAACGGGAGTCAATACAGGCCAGGGCTTCTACACTACCCTCTGCACTTCTCTGGGCCTTTGATCTTCCTCTCCAGACACAGTGACAGTCTCAGTACACCTCCTCCTCATCAGAGATGGACTGAACACCTACTGTGCGCAGGGCATCAAGCCAGGGAAGGCCAGACCTCAAGACCAACTCATAATCTAGTTGTTGGTACAGGGCATATACATAAAATTATAATGCTAAAAACAAAGAAAAAAATGTTATAACACTGATGACCACATTTTTTTCTCTCGTTTTTGTCTTGTTTTGTTTTATATGTGTGTTTTTTTAAATTGATTTCAGAGAGAGGAAGGGAGAGGGAGAGAAAGATAGAAACTTCAATGATGAAAATCATTGATTGACTGCCTCCTGCATGCCCCCTACTGGGGATTGAGCCTGCATGTGCCCTGGCTGAGAATCAAACTGTGACCTCCTGGTTCAAGGTCAACACTCAACCACTGAACCACACAGGCCGGATGATAACCACATTCTTGGGCACAAATGAATAAAATAGATCAGTAGTTTCCAAACTTTTTTTTCACTGCAGAGAGCCCTTCTCTCCACCCTCCCCGCCCCCCCCACACACACACAATCTGACACAATCTTCAATACATGAAACAGATAAAAGTGAGCTGAAGTTGAGGGTAGGAGTAAGACGGGCCCTTGGTTTCCCCAATCCCCAAGGCGCCTCCATGAAACCTGGTGTGGAAAGAATGGCCAGAGACCCTGGCAATGTGCCAGGAGGGAGAGATTTCTGTTCCTAGTGGGCTAGCTGGGCTGGGCCCGTCAGGAAAGATCCAGTAGAAGAAAGAGGGGGGATTCATCTGGGCTTGAAAGCAAGGGGAGGAGGAAGTAGAAGGGATATAACTTTTATTGAGACCCACTCTACCCAGACTGCTTAGGTCTGAGTCCTGAATTTGCTACTAATTATTAGCTGTGACACTTTAGGCAAATCACTTAACTGTTCTGTGCCTCAGTTTTCCTTTCTGTAAGCTGGGGGTAATCATAGGACCTACTTCGCAGGGTTGTTCTAAGGACTATATAACTTAATCCACGTAAAGCCTTATAATAGTGCCTGGCACTATACATTCCTTAATTATTGGTTATTATTACATCTGCTGTTACGATGTGCTTTGTGTCCATGATTTCATTTACTCCTCACAACAACTCTGTAAGATGGTCATCGGCCCCTCTCTTTAAAAAAAATATATTTTATTGATTTTTTTACAGAGAGGAAGGGATAGGGATAGAGAGTTAGAAACATCAATGAGAGAGAAGCATCAATCAGCTGCCTCCTGCACACCCCCTACTGGGGATGTGCCTGTAACCAAGGTACATGCCCTTGACCGGAATCAAACCTTGGGACCCTTTAGTCCCCAGGCTGACGCTCTATCCAGTGAGCCAAACCGGCTAGGGCTCGGCCCCTCTTTTGAGTTGAGGAAGCCCAGAACTTCAGCCTGGTGAGTGCCCGGTTACCAGATAGTGGTCTCTGTAGTAAGGGAGGCAGGGTTTGTGCCCATCTGCTTGCCCTCAGAGCCAGCTCCTTCCACCAGGCGAAAGGCCACTGCTCTAGTCCAGGCACGAGGTGACAAAGGCCTGGGTAATCACGAGAATGGCTGTGGAGTTGTTAATAAAGACACAGCAAGCAGTTTGGGTGACTGGATAGGGGGAGAGGGAGTGGTGGTGACAAGAATGGACGAGTCCAGAAGAATTATGATGAGGGTTTCAGAAATCAAGAGATAGTAGTGAAAGAAAAAACCCACCTCGTCACTATGAAAGCATGGGATGATGACGACAATGGTGATGCTGCAATCGTTTATTGCATGATTACTACATGCTTAGTGTAAGGCTAAAAGCTTCCATCTGGACCATAACTACCTTCTGACGTAAGTCCCATCATTATTCTTCTTTTACAGATGAGGAAACAGAGGTTCTGAGAGGTGAGTGAGCTAAAACGTCCAGGTAACACTGAGGGACAGTGGAGACGCCAGGCTTCAGGCCCAGGGCTGCCTGGTTCGAGAGCCTCAGCTGCCAGTGGTGATGGAACCACTGACACTAACCAATATGTCAGAGCAAAGGGATTGAGGTCAGTGGTTTCCAAACTTTCCTTACCAAAGACCCACCCTTTACCTGTGCAACCCTCGAGCTATTTATATATATATATTTTTTAACCTGATTAGCTGCACCTGCATATCTATATCACATTTTCCTATGAGATAACTTGTATGAACACACTGAGCTGTTAGAATTCCAACCAAAAGCAAAAATGGAATATTTTAGTTAAGCCTATGGGACTCTAAAATATTGGAAGGATCTCAAAGACCCACATTATTACCTTCACAGGCCTCCTTTGGGCCAGAGGATCCCAGGTAGGAGCTACTCAGGCAGGTCAAAGGTTGAGACCTGAGGGAAGCCTTGTCCCTGACCAGTGGGGCAGCCTGGGGCTAGAGCAGTGCCTAGGAGGTTCCCACCCAGTGATGGGGAGCTGTCAGGTGAGAAGCCGCGGGAGAGTGCAGTGGGGGCAGGAGGTGGAGAAAGCATGGGCAGGGGGCCGTGAAAGATGAGGTCACAGGAGAGTGGCCAAGGGGCTTCTCCTAAATCCCTAGATTTGTGTTTGTTTGTTTTAGCTCAAGCACCATTTGTTGCCTAACATACACTATTTTCATACTCACAATAATCACTGGGGTGGGAAATAAAAGCCCCATTTTATGGTGGTGGAAACAAAGGCCCAGCAAGGTCCAGTAGCTCCAAGAGTACTGACCACGTGTTCCCTGCCTCCCGGGGTCTGTGCCTCACTTCTGCTACATGAGTGTGCTCCTCCCGCTCCCGGGTGGCAGGGGGTTCAGAAAATGAGTCACTGCTTTCTTATTCCAAAAAAGTTTGTATGTGGATTATGGGAGACTGAACATTACAGAAACAGAAAAAGCAGTAAAAAAT